TCCTAGAAGAGGTATGACTCTAAGCCACAAGGCCTTTATCATCAGCTTTTATCACAGCACCTGGTATATATACACTGAATGTGTTTATTATCCACCATCCACACTTGAGATTATACAAGTTTATCAGATTAAATCTACTTGCCCTAAAGGGCTCTGAAGTGATGGACAAGTAGACAGATAAGCTTGGATACAGGTGAGAGGTCACAAAGGTTTCACCATTCAAGCTTAATCCTCATGGTACAGAGCACAAGCCACGCACAGATACCAGGTTCCTCCAAAGGCATTATTGTTTTTTAGTTAGGTGGAAAACCAGGCTTTCCTCCTTACGAACAAAGTCCTGAACTGGGCAGTGATCTGGGCTGGGATTTGGCAAGACCACCTTGTGCCCTGGCCTTCTGCCCAGCCCGTTGATTTAGCTCTTTAAATCGCATCATTTAAGCCCACAAATGTCACAGATACCATTAGACAAACTCCTCTGGCTATGAGCACAGAAAAGAGAGAACACGATAAGCCCCCTGAGGCAGCCTGTTAGACCATTCCTAATCTTTCATGCTTGTGGGACTACATTGGGAGTAGGGTTCACTTGTAGAATGGCATGAAGTGCTGGCTGGTTTCGTTTTGTTCAGTTAAGAATACACTTCAAGGCCAATGCATAATAAAGGGAAAGCCAATCCCATCTCTTGGCTTAGGTTAATGGCAGGTGAGTGAAATCTGCCAAGTATAAAGGTAAAGGGTAATGGGAAGGAACCTTCCCAATAATGCATCTTCAAGAGATGCCAGAAACTCCATCGTTAGTTACTTATTCCAAGAGTAATGGCAGAGTACGACTAATAGCAAGCATATGGAGAAAGGCCTGGACCAAGATTGAGGCTAAAGAGTCAAGTGGCACCAGAAGTGAGGATTGGAAGAGGGCAGGGCACTAGGCAAGGCATTAGACATCTATATAAGCCTACGCGTAGACAATGCAGGGAACCCCTTTTACATCATTCTCAATGCGTAGTATAGAGGTGGGCATGGATACATGAAAGAGATTTCCAAGACTGGACATCAGGCCTCTCTTTTGCCTCCATTACATCTTTTCTGTCCCTCTAGACACACATCTCTTGACTCCCAAGGCCACAGCAACTTTCATAATGCAGGAGTCCACATCAAGGCATCACTAGCTGTTAGCCATGTGATTTATTGTTCCTTCCAGTTGTAGTTTTAGAGATGCAGTGCCTTACAGCAAAGGACTGACTTTCTAATAGTATAATCTCAGGCAAACCTCTGGAGGAGATATTTTTCTCTACAGGGGAATACTCTGAGGCTTCTCATGACACAGCCCACTGGAAATGCAATAGACCAGATTAATTTCAAATGGAAGAGACAAAAAGTAAAACTAGACTCTGAATCAACTATATATCATCCAATTATATTTACTTCAAGCACAAATTACCGTGATTTTACTGTCCTCTCTCTTTCACTACTATAACCCACGCATCTGGCACATAGTGAGAGTTCAATGAATGGGACTGCTTGTTGCCTTCATTATTATTACTATTAGAAGCAGTAGTAGTAATAGTGCTGCTCCATTACCTGGCACAGTGCCTGGGATATATTAAGGATTCAAAAATGTAATAATTTCTTTATTGCACCAGCTACTGGCACATAAGAAGACACTGATTGAGTTAGTTCCCTTCAGTCTCACCTTTCCCTGGGGTACATTTGTCTTCAGTTTCCCTCACAGCTGTGCCTGACTAAAGTGGGCGCAGATCTTCCTGTAGCAATAACGCTTAGCCCAGCACCACCAGTGACACCATCTAAAAAGACATCCAGCCTTTTCTTCCATGCTAGCCTCTTAAATGGCAAATGGGCAGTAAGATCATTTTTCTTATGGGGAATCTGAGGTTATGAGCTACTGCCTTGGATCTTTAGCTTGCCTTTAATCCCTGTATCCTATTATAGCCTGAAATATATACCCTCTACCAATGTCTCCCAACTATGCCATTATCAATCTCACCACTTTTGTTCTCGCACTCTGTAGTGCCTAGACTACCCTCACATTTTCACATTTAATTCATCCTCAAGGACTGGCTTAAGAGCTGCCTCTTCCATGCAACATTCTCTTAGACCTCCAGCCCTCACTGAGCTCTTTCTGAAATCCCAAAGCATCAAATCAGTACCACAAAATTTAGCACTTCATTCCCCAACCATGCTGACTTTCCTCAGCTAGATTATATTTGCTCATTAAATATCCATTTGTTGAGTACCCCTCGTGTTCAAGACCCTGTGTGAGTGCTAGGAAGGCATGAATCAAGGTACTTCTACCCTAATGACAGGAAGACAAATATGCAGCTGGTGACATTGAAGAAATGTGATCCAAGTACCAGTGGAGAACTCAGAGGGAGATCAACTAACTTTCTGACAGTATTGGGGGAAGACTTAACAGAGAAGGGGACCTATAAGCAAGGTGCTGAAGCTGAGAAGGAGTTTGTTAAGTGGAAAGAGTTGGATGAAGCCATGTGCAAAGACAACTCAGAGAACATGGCTAGACAACTTAGGGTGAGCAGAACCAGACTAGATGAGAACCTAGGGTGGGATGGAGAGAGATGAGAAAATATCATGGAAGGTTTACTCATTCATTCATCAAATATATATCAAGCATCCACAGTGTGCCAGGAGCTTGGCTAGGTGCAGGTGCTAGAAAAACAGAACAGATCCAATCCCTGCACTTGAGCTTTAAAGCGAATTGGACAAAACAGCCAATCACCAAGTAAGACAAATAAATTTGTAACTGCAAACTGTGATAAACATTAAGAAGGAAGAGAAGAGAGTACATTGGAGAGAAGAATATGAAGGAATTGCTCTGAGGAGGTAACGGCTTGTTGAGGCTTGAAAGATGAAAAGAGCTGGAGAAGAGTTCCAAGCTATAATCAAAGGTCTTGAGGTGGGAAAAAGCTTGGCATGTTGGAAGAGTCAAAGGAAGCTCCACGAGGCTAAAGAATAGTGGATGAGTGTGAGAGAGATGAGGCTGTAGAGGTGAACACAAGCCTAGACCTGGTGGCGCTCAGAAAGAAGTGTTGATTTCATCACAAGAGGAGCAGGAAACTAACCAAGTAGGAGTGAAATGGGATCAGATTTGTGTTTCACAGGATAACTTGGGGGTAGTATGGAAGACGATCTGGACGGGGAGAGAATGGAATCAGGATGATCAGTTGTAAGGCTGTGGAATGGTCCAGTTAAGACATGATGAAGACAGGGACCTGTTCTTTCATATCGTCCAACAGTGACTGGCAAGGTGCTGGGGACACTGAAGGCTTCCTCTGTGTTCGTATTGATTAAATAGATATAAACTGAAGTGGGTTGTTGAGCGTCTCTTTAGGAGATTGCACTTTCTCTTCTTCCTCCTCCCTTTTTGTTTGTAATGGAGATACGGAGGCAGTCTAAAATTAGTGTTCTTAAATTCATTTGCTGTTTAGTGACAAACACTTATTCTAAGTGCCATTTTCCTTTAGCCACGCTGAGTTACTTGAAAGTAGCACAGACAAATATCAGTGCTTCTCCAGACAGCCAAAAAGCACCCTGCTCTCCTGAGACTTGGGTGCAGAGAGAAATTTGTCATTTGGGCCTGTTCAGGGCAAGAGGCAACACTCACATTCAGATACTAACTTCCCAGAAGATCACAAGCACATGAATTGCAAATGCCACTTGTTATAATATATGCTTCTCCCTCTGCCAAAGCAGGGATGTAATTACCTGGAGGAGTGAGGCAAATGTTTGTGGAAGCTTCATGTCTCTATCTTCTCTTACCTCCAGGAGATGAGACAAGAGGCCCTTTATCACATTTCCATTTCCTTTTGCTGGCAAAACAGTTCGGTAATGAAAGACACTTAAAAGGGTCTGTGAAAACTCAGCTTCCACAGCGTCCTGGAGGGAAAGGAGGTTAATCACCTAATGAGTCTGAGCCTCATCTTCTCCCCTAGGGAGGATAATTATTCCTATCTCACAGGGCTAGTACAAGGAGTCAGTGAGGAATGTGCATGCATTTGATCTGTAAACTACGATGCAAGAGCTCTCTACTGTGATTCATTCTGTGCAATTGAAGGCAAAGACTGTATTTTTTTCTTGGTCTCCCAGGGAAAATTAAACACATTTTAGGAACTCAATAATAGGTTTTACTTTAAAATCAATGCTATTAAAATCCGGCTTTAGATGTGGTGCATATAAAACAGACCATTCAATTCTCAGAATTGAATCAGATTCTCAGATCTGTCAGCTCCTTGGTTTGGAGTGGTGGAGGAAAAAGTCATGAGTGGGCAGAGGGTTTGCATGGCTTTGGCCAATGGGAGCCAATACTCCTCCAGTGAGCGGCAGCAAGAAGCAGGGCTTCAGTTAGCACTAGAACAGAATTTCAATCCAGGATCTGCACCTGGGGCAGCTACAAATGTAATCCTGAAAACTACCACAGGCCTATAGGCCCAGGGCCCAAAGGAAATTGGCAAAGATGAATTCCAACTTTGCATCACCAACCAAAAGTATTATCAGGAGTATTTTTAGACAGCATAAGGGAAGGAAGGAACTAACCTGTGCCACGTCTCAGGAGGTTTATCCTGTGCCAGTTGCTTTGATAATGCATTATCTCATTTAACTCTCACAATAGCTTTATGAGATAGAAATTATTCTTTAGCACAGGGCCTAGTACACAGTAAGTAGTCACTAAATGATAACTGCTATTAATGTTATTAATATTGGTAAACTTAATAATCGTAAACTAAAGCATGGTGGCCTTGAGTAACTTATCCAAGGTCACAGAGCTGCTAAAGCCAGGATTTGAACCTAGGTCTTTCTGATCCAAAAGGCTGGCTTCTTTCTGCTATACCCCTTTGCAAGAGGAGAAAGATTGTGGCATTAAAACAGTTTAGGGTTTTCCAACTTCTTAGCAAGTCTTCCTCCATAACTGGCCTCTTGAGACCTTCAGGTATCTAAGAATATCTTTGGTCTCCCTCTCTCTCCTCACTCAGGTTTCTAAATTGCTATGAACCATGGCCCAACTGTACTACAAAAAGGTCAACTACTCACCATACAGAGACCGCATCCCCTTGCAAATTGTGAGGGCTGAGACGGAGCTCTCTGCGGAGGAGAAGGCCTTCCTCAATGCTGTGGAGAAGGGGGACTACGCCACTGTGAAGCAGGCACTACAGGAGGCCGAGATCTACTACAATGTCAACATCAACTGCATGGATCCGCTGGGCCGGAGTGCCCTGCTCATTGCCATTGAGAACGAGAACTTGGAGATCATGGAGCTCCTGCTGAACCACAGCGTGTATGTAGGCGATGCATTGCTCTACGCTATCCGCAAGGAAGTAGTGGGTGCTGTGGAGCTTCTGCTCAGCTACAGGCGGCCCAGTGGAGAGAAGCAGGTAAGAGAAGTCACTATAGGCTGGCAAATAGCCAGGGACAACAGGGCACTAGGGTCTGAAGCCTGGGAACTAGGGAAGGATAGGTAGGCTGGAGTTGAGAAGCCCTATCATGGCGACCCTCTGCTTTCACAAACAGCATCAGCAATCTCAGGTGATATCCTAGAGCTACCCTGCATGGCCCACGCTGAGTTTTACTCATTTGCCTTTTCCTTATTGGTATTTGCCAATATACATTCAACACTTAACAACCCAAAATTGTGCTCTGTGTTTCCAGAATATTCAAGCTCCTTCTACCCTCACTACCCCGCCCCCTGCTCTCTGTCATTTTCTTCCTGCACTCAAAGCATACATTCTAGAAAAGGAGAGACCAAACACAGACCTAGGCTTCCTTCCTCTCACCAGCCTCTCTCCTGAAGAAGGACAGGAGGCTTTTAAACTTGAGTGCCCCATGCAGATGCAGACAGATACAGGGACTCACATATTTTTCCAGTACCTGTCATGTGACTGCATTCCACCCCTAGATGTTCGGGATTTTGCCTCTTTGATACTCCTGTCCTCCAGGGCACCTAGGTTTAATACTGTGGAGTCATCTTTGAGTCTTTCCTCTCCCTTGCCTCTGTGTCCAATCCCCAAGCCATCTGGTTTCGGCCTTCCCAATATCTTTTACATACTTTCTTTCCTCTCTAGCCCAGCCCCCATGACTCAGTCTCTGGTTCTCATCATCTCTCTCCTAGATGAGTGATTCTCAAAGTGTGGTTCCTGGACCAGCATCATTAGCATCACCAGGAGAACTTGTTAGAAAAGCAAATGTAAATTCTCAGGCCCCGCCACAGACTGTCTGAATCAGAAACTCTGGGGGTGGGGCCCAGCAAGCTGTGTCTTAACAAGCCCTCCAGGGGATTCTGATGCCCCTCAGGTTTGAGACCCACTGTCCTAGACGAACATGAAAATTGTCTAACGGGACTCCCTGCCTCTAGCCTCTTTCTTTCTCTCAAGCCATCCTGAACAATGATGCTGGCTTATTCTTCCCAAAATAGTATAACAATCCTGTCATTCCTGTCACCCTTTCAATGATTACAATGTCTCCTCAATAGAAAAGAAACCAATCCATGAAGCCTAGTACTCAATACCCTTCATCAATGATCTTTTCCAGTCCTGTCTCCCCCTAGTCCCTTCCAAACCCCTCTAGTCAGACAGGCCTCTTCACTGTGTCTCTTCCTTCGGAGCATAGTAGGGACAAAGAAAATACAGAGTCATCAAACATGGAATACCCCAATACATTAAAAAGTAGAAACAGTACAAATCAGAATCAAAATTGCAAAGTGTTTAGAAAATAATGATAATGAAAATACTCAACATCAAATCTTATGGGATCTGACCAAAGCTGGGTTTAAAGGGAATTCGTAGCTTTAATATGTGCCTAGTAAAACAAAAATGAATGAAAATAAGCTAAGTGATAACTCATGGATTAAGAGTTGGAATTGACGAGCAAAAAGCAAGACACTAGATTAAAAGTTCCTTGAGTAAAGGGCATGAATCTCCCCGTTCCCCATCAGCATTTAACACAGTGCCAAGAGAGAAGGGACCTTGTCTCTCTTTTCACGGCTGTATCCTAGCACTGGGAAAGTGGCTGCAATATCACAGGCACTAAATAAATATTTATTTTATGGATGAATAGTATGCAATCAGACTTTGCTAAGCATTTTACACGACTTACCTCATTTAATCCTCCCAGCAACTTTATTAGGCAATAGTAATAGACACTGTTGGTTACCATCCCCATTGTACCAATAAGAAAAATCGAGTCACAGGATGGTTAATTGTCCAAGATCACAATAAATGTCAGAGCCAGGATTCAAACCCAGGCAGCCTAGCTCCCAAACCCACCCTCTTAACCACTAGGCTGTACTGCTTCCCTGGCAGTCTGAGTAAGTCTTAGAATTTTCAGATTCCCAGCACAGGAGTTCTGAGACAGGGTAGGTCAGTGGAGGATGGATGCCCTCTCTGGAAAGGACAGGCCTACAGGATTTGGATGAATAGCAAAGCAGAGAGGTGTGAACAGGTTCCCTCCTCAGTCCATGTCACCATCCCCATCAAAACTGATTTGTTCTGTGCTCCATTTCCCCAGAGCCCTGCTAAGTGCCTGAGTGATTGAATGTACTGATCTGAACTAAGGCTTACCCCACTACCCTGCTCCATGATGATCTTGCCCACCTCTGAGACTATGTAGCCATTGGCTCTACCCTTCACTTGACACCAATCATGCACTACTATGTACTATTGGTCAGCCTTAGTTGTGTAAATGTTTAGACTCTGTAACTAGCCTGTTTCTTAAATGCGAGGCGTAATGTAATTCCCAACTGTTTCCATGCTTCCCCCATCAGTACCTAACCCAGTGCCTGGTATATAATGGGTTATATATAAATATTTGCTGATGAACATGAACATGCTGCTGCTGCTGCTGCTGCTGAGTTAAGCATATCTCCCAGAAAAGCATATGGCTAGCTGACTGAACAAGACATCCTGGACTTTCATATTCATTTCCATTTAGCTTCATAACTGTTTTGAAAAAGATGTGAGCACAAGGGAGGTTCCACACAGAGGGCTAACAATGCCAGTACTATCTGAGCTTTGAAAGTAGGCTAAGCCCTTATTTGATGGTCCCCATATCCCCCATCTTTCCCCAGTGCTCTGTCAAAGCCTGAGAAAGAAAGGCAACAGGTTAACTTACTCTAAAGTACAATCTAAGGCATGACCTCCCCTGGAGAAAGGCAGTGCTTCACTCATAGGAATGAACCACCAATAGTGGAAGGTTAGGCATATGGAACCTCAGGTGAAGCTATTTGGGACAGGCTGTCTTTTACCAAGATCCTTTCAGATACATTGCCAATATAAGACCTCCTTTGTCCATATTTGAATATTATACCATATGTACAAACCCACAGAGCCATCAGCTCCGTCCCCAAGTCTCTTCAGCAGCCTTCTCTTCTCTTTCTCCTCTCTCTCCCAACCCCTACCACCAGCCTCTGCTAAATTTCATTTTCTCCCATTGCTCTGACAATCGCTGTGATAAGTCATATGTCAGTAACTATAACAACAGGCTGCTACAGTGCTGGAGCCCTGCCTTTCTGGGAGATAGAAACAAGATTTGTTTACCTGGGAGCAATCAGGGATGTGAGCAAACACAGACCTCCTGAAGGACCGTGGGTCCAGCTGGTTAGGTTACTCTCAGGAAGGCGCTCCTCCCACACACAGAATCCAAACACCTGTCCCTTTTCATGGAGGCCCTCCCCCATCTCGCCAAGGGAGTAGGCTCAGCTGACCTCCATCAATCTTGGGTAGATAAACTAGTGCCCTCTGTGGCTTTACTAGGTAAGGAGTTTGGCAGCAAGACCCCATCTGCTCCATCTTTACCCCAGCCCATTGTGCTTTTCTCCCTCTTCTAGCCTATCAAAACTGCTCTTATATAAAGGTGGGAGGCTGGGCATAAATGGCTGACATGGGCTTCAGTATCAACACTCACATGGAGACCTGCATTTTTAATAGGGACCAAATCTTAAAGTAAAAATAATGATGCTCTATCAGATGGAATTTCCTGCACCAGACAACAAGTAGAAGACTCTGTGCATAAGTGTGTGTGTGTACGTGTGGTGTTACTCTGTGGTCTTATTGCTGCTCCAGAAATCTGACTCTCTTGGCAGCATCCACTCAGCCACTACAGCCTATTTCCTTAGGGGTAGATTTTTGAGACCTGGGGAATTTATGATTCCTTGGGGTAAACACTCTTATTCTCAGAGTTCAAAATTTGGGGACTGCAGAAAGTTTAGCACCTGCTCATGTTTTTGTATTAAGCCTACTTCCTTCAACCCACTGACCCTGGGAACCACTAGAGGAACATAGTCAGTAGGGAGAGCAAATCCAGCTACAGTCTAGCGAGGAGTCTTGTATCTGTATATGGTCAAAACTAGGTCAAAGATAAATCATTGTGCATATGGAGAATTTGCCAAAATGCAGATTACTGAGTCCCAATGCATACTTACAGAATCAGAATCTTGGGTTTGGGGCCTACGAACAGCATTTTAATAAGCCCAGCCCCACCTGTTTCTAGGTACGAGCTCTATGTAACTCTCTGTATTTGTTTCCTAGGGCTGACATAACAAATTACCAAACTGAGTGGCTTAAAATAAGAGAAATATATTCTCTTACGCTTCAGGCCAGACGTCCCAAATGAAGGTGCTGGCAGGGTCGGTTCCCTCTGGAGCATCTAAGAGAGAGTCTGTTCCCTGCCTTGGCTTGTAGCTGCATCACTCCAGTCTCTGCCTCCATCATCATATAGAGTTCTCTGTGTCTCTGTGTTGAAATATCCCTCTCCTTTCTCTTATAAAGACACCAGTCATTTGACTTAGGGCCCACCCTAATCCAGGATGACCTCATTTTAACTTGATTACATCTGCAAAGACCCTTTTTCCAAATAAGGTCACAGGTACCGGGGGTTAAGGTTTGAACATATCTTTTAGGGGACACAGTTCAACCCATTCCACTCTCTCTGAGCAATACTGGTCTAGACAAGTGGTTTTCAAACATTTTCAGTAGGAAAGCCTTTCATTAAATGAAATCCTGTCCAGATGTAAAACAGACAGATCCAAGCAGAGCTGCCCTGGTTCAAGTGCAGGTTGGGGCCCAAAGCCCCACCTGTTCACACACGAACATTCCCGTACCCCTATGGCCACTGAGGAGCAAGCATAGCTGGAAAACTACTGGTCTAGAAGACAGAATGGCAGACTAATTCAGAGTTTGCAGTGCTAGCCAGCTTGTAGCTAACAGGGTGACCTTGGACAAGTCATAAGGTCTTTTACACGTGTCCCGTTATAGAATCACCCTAGAGCTCAATTTCCTCATCTGTAAAATGAAGCTAACAATACCTGCCCCTACCCAATCTAGGGGCCTATTGTAAGGCAGAAATAGGATAAAGATATGTTAGACTTTTGAAAAAAATTTTC